ATTTCCCCAATTTTTTACTTTTTTTAAAAGCTAGTAAGAATATAATCCTTATTATATAATCCAATGTAAATGTAAATCCAATTGGATTATTTTAACTACTGGAGAATGAATTCTCACTGACAATTTTCTTATAGAAAGTAAAAGTATTTTATAGTTCAATGGTAAACAATGAGAGAACAAAGAAAAATGTAAAATGCAACAAGTTACAAGATAGATCAACAATCAACTAGTCTATTAAAATATACAAAAAATAGAGGAATTTTAAAAGTGCAATTAAAACCAAGGCGTGCTTTAAAAAACAAAGCTGAAGGGAAAAGATAACACTTAGACTTATATACAGCTTCATTTTACAGAATCAGCATATTGCCCCCAATAATCTGGGTCCTCATTTTACCGACCTCAGAAGGATGGAAGGCTGAGTCAACCTTGAGCCTGGTGAGATTTGATCTTTCAAACTGCTGGCAGCTGGTGATCAGCAGAAGTAGCCTGCAGTACTGCACTCTAACCACCATGCCACCGTGGCTCCAAAAGATGGTAAAAAAACTCAACCTGGTCACTCCTTACAGAGAATTGTGATCGTCAAGATCTCTCTCCTCCAAAGCTGCACAATTGTTCAAAATTCTTGGGTCCCTCCTAGTTACTCCCTTTCAATTCTAGGGACCAAAGCTGCCAAATAGCTTTGACAGAAAAATCAGCAATTCGTTGACAGAGAAAAAAATGCCTGCTGTTCAGCATACCATTGGGGGAGGGGGGGACGGGGACGGGACACTATTTTTTTCCTTTATGTTTTGTCCCTCTTTCAATTTCTTTTATTTTCAGATCTTTGTTGCTTGTTTTTTTTTCCTTCAATTTTTTTTAATCTTTGCACTTTGCATAATACTACTTTCCTGCAAAGGGAATAATATAATGAAATATATGGTTGTACAACTAATAAACAAATCTCATTCTTCTGAAAGAAATTTCAATTCAGAATCCTTTGCACCTCAAGAGTCCTCAAGCCTATTACATTCTTTATGTTTAATCTATCTGTATAACACATTTGTGGAAGAATAAAATGCGCTGAAGTTTTTATACATTGACCTGAACACCTTTAAGGAAAGGCAGGATGTAAATCACGTATCTAAGTATGAAGCTAGACAATAATCTGGAATCATGCTATCCAGGTAAACAGTTGCCAATTGTAGTTGTTGAGATGTTGTTATTTGGGGAGTTAAAAGTTAAAGATTGGATAACTAAAAAATTAAAGATTGTTAGACCTCGAAGGCTCTGATTTGAGATTTGGGTGGCATGCTTATTTGTGGCATGACAAAATAAAAGTTAACCCTGGTTTTAAGAATCATATTATTAGGCAATCTATTGGGCATGTATGGTGGGCATGTAAAAGAAGATAAGAACAATTTAAAATGGAATTGGAATAAAATACAGTCTAAAAGGAAATTGGAATAGAATATAATAATTTAAGATATAGAGAAAATATGATAAAATTATATTTTGGTGTCACCCCTGCAATCTATCCCAATCAGTCCCACATATGCAGATCTCAACCAAACTATTTTGTTTAAGTACTGTGCTGTGTTAAATGTTATTTTCAGGTTCTGGCCGCACTTAAGGTAACTTGCTTTGATATGGGGATCTCAATGGATCATTTGTTTGGTATATGGACCAAAGTACCTGTCTCTCACTCCCTTATACAAGCAACAATCAAATAGGATCTGAGCCAGGTCTTCTACCTCTGCTGCTCCGCAAATACAGAGACGCTCATTGCAGAGTATAGAATGGAATCTCCCATATCTGACCATTGGGTCAAGCTGTTCGAATCTTGCTCATGTAAATCTCTCTCTAACATGTTTTAGCAGTTGTAACTTCAAATAGCTGCCTACTTGAAAAGTACATTTCTATTTACTCAGCTATTTCAAGTTATCCACCTTACTAAGGATAGCTATATCATTCTGTACTTCTATATCCTTAATTCTTTGGGCAGCTCTTTTTTTGAGTTGTTCTCCTGTTACACAAGAGACAGGAAGGCCACAGCTCCTTTAAAAATTTGTTAGTTTGGTGATCCAGGAGATTTGTTATTGTAATTTTATTTGCTCTACTAGACATAACTTGGGGGAGTCTATCAGTCTCCATTTCATTGACTTTGCACCAATAATTACATGCTTTAATTTTGGATAGTGCATGAATTGTATGAATTCCCAATTCAGTTCTAACTGCTGCATCAGATGTTATTGGATCTATATCCAAAATACATCTCAAGTGCTGGGACTGTGTTTGTTCTGGGACTGTGGTTGAGTATACACTCCAAACGTCTGCTCCATACAAGAACATAGGGGTAAATTTAGTTTTATAAACCATAATTAATGGGGCTACGGAGCCTGGTAACTATGGTTCTTTAGTTTAAGCAGTAAAATCAAACGGGCTTTTGCTCTAAATGTACTTCATTTATGATGGCAAGCCCAAGATCCAGTCTTTGAAAATGTTACACCTAAATATACAAAGGTGTTAACCTGTTCAATTGGTTCACTGATTGCCACATATGTTTCTGATTGTGTTTTCCAAACACCATTATTTTTTATTTAGATTTACTGATGATTAGGGAGTTATCCTGGCAATAAACAAATATCTGTCAAAAAAAAAAAAGACAAAATACAAATGTCAAAAAAAAATAGACAAAATACAAATATGAAAAAAATGACAAAAGAAAGACAAATATGTCAAAAATTGTATGGTAAAATGGGCAAAAAAATTAGGGATACCATAATACTAGATAAATATATGGACTAATGGTTTCAAAATTACTTTGAATTAGAGTTTGAAAGAAAATAAAATGATGCATCATTGGTATTTGACTCTAGATAGATTAGCAAAAATGTATAGAGGAACATCTAACAAATGGTGGAAATGTAATCAAAATCCAGGTATATTTTATCATATGTGGTGGTCTTGCAAGTATGTGAAAACTTTCTGGATAAACCTAATGATAATGCAGAAAATATTTGAGATATAAAAATTAATGAAACCTGAAGTTTTCTTTTAGGTATTATGGATCAATTAAAAACGGGATGTTATTGCTTTATATGTTGATGGCTGTGATTCATTAAGGCAAAGAGATGCCGATTGAATGGATTTTAAAATTGACGGAATTAACAGAGATGGCAAAACTGCTTTGATTAGAAGCAATAGACTAGACAGCTTTATAAGCTGTTTGTGGACATTCTACGAATTAAATACAACAACAGATGATTAACAGAGGGATTTGAAGACTAGTGTCATATTCAGGCTAATCTGTTGATGTTCTTTTTTTACTTTATATTATGGTTAGATGCTAGGTCTATTTGATTATTAGAGATCTCATCTGAAATATTTTTTATATATTTTTCTTGCTAAATAAGGCTTAGAATTATTTGCAGACCCATTATGTAAGGGGAGGATAATTTATCAGGGTTTTTTAAAAAAAATTTCGCCATCCAACCCGGCTGGAGGTTTGTTGTATGTTCAATGTTAAACTTATTTGATGTTTGTGACATTTTTTTCTTCTTTGTATACAATTTTTTTGTTGTTACTGTTGATGTCTGTTTTTCTGTTTTGCACTTTATTTTTGTTGATAAAACATATATAAACTATCAAGTCATGTTTTCTATAACATTCATTCTGCTTTGATAGCATTAGCAAAATTGACCAGAATGGTGCAATACATACAAAATAAAATCTCATTGAATTAAATGGAATATACTTTTGCCTAGCTTCAGAGGATCACGCTGTGATCCTTCATACATACAGAACTGTAATTTGGAAACCTTTTTAAACTTGTTTTGCACGGCTGCTTAATGATACATAACAAAAGATATGTTAATTCCAATGTGTTCTTATAAATATTGCAGCTTTGATAAGGAGAGTGAAAAAGGCAGCGCATAATCTGCTTCATTTAAACATAACTTTTTAACTACCTGAAAGAGAGGTAAGAACTTTTCTCATCCTTTGCTCCTCTAGCCTGCCTCAGCAAGCTCCAACTACAACTCCTAGCAAACATAGCTTCCGGAACCTTTGAGAAGCTGCTGAAGGCAGCTTGGAGATTCTTTCATTTGTAGATAGATTTGTTGAACCAAGTCTTGGTATTCTTACTCTCTACTTGCAGAGAAACTGGTGGTTGCCATCCTCAGTGGATTTGGAGACTATTGCTGTGTGATACAAGGAGATACTTCTAGTCTGGTATTTGTGTTAGCCTCTAAATTTATTTGTAACTTTGAGTCTCCCTGCACTTTACAAAAAAGTTAAGCTCGGTTTTGTACTCTTGGCGTCCTCATTGGCAGGTTGGAATTCTGTTGCTTGGTCTCTTTGACTATGACATTAAAATCAGTAAATGTAAGGTAGGTGAAGTGAGTTGCTCATCTGCTACTGTTTTAAGATGTATAAAATGTAGATCAGGTGAAGAAATTTGGATATCTGGCATACAGTCTTCTCTTGCACACCTGTGGGAACTCAGCCCTAACACACAGCGAAGGGAGGGCTGGAGGGGAGAACAACTTCCTTGACAACAAATATAAAATTTCCTACTCCTCACCTAATGATATTTTTGAGGGTGGAGGGGGGCAGATCTAGGAGATTGTGCATTACATTGATTAGTTTTATTTAACCGTGAGTGAAATCTCATTCACATTACATGTTATTACATTGTTTGAATGTAAGATTTTAAAAGCACCAAACAAGGATATTCTAATAGCAGCATAAATTTGTTGTCCAAATAAGCAGATGGAATATCCTCAATAAAATGCTATGAAGTTCTCCCGTTTAGTCTTTCAGCTGTTCCCTCTTTTCCATTCTGTCTCTCCCACTGAATTTCCTTAGAAGTTAAGCTTAGAATTATATTGTTTCTCTTCACTACCCCATTACTGGATGTTTCAGAGAATGTCTCCACTACATCAGATTATTTTCGATCCTTTTGATAATCTTTTGTGTGAGCAATTTTAACCACATATGTTGGAAGAACTTGAGGGATTGAGTCATTGTCAATATGCAATTTATTTTCATATAATATGGCTGTTACAGTGGTATCTTTTTGGATCAAATTTATTTCGTATATGTTGTTCTGAAAGACTTGATATTTTTTGTAGATACTCATGTTCTTAAGTATATAACTGTGATTTTAAACTAAAGGATAACAAAAATAAACAGCTTATTTCATTTTTATGATTTTAGGTTGCTCTCCTGTTACAAGCATAGAATAAAACGCAAGACTAATCTGAATAACTTATTTCATTGTTTAAATAAACATATTTAAATGTGAATAATTCCACAACATAAGACAGACCTGTGTTTGTGTGTTTGTGTGTGTGTTGCAGATTCCTGCTAATTGTGAATTTTGTATTTGTGAATTTGCCTACTCAAATTTATTTGAAATGGCAAATCAATACTTGTGGGGCTTTCATACTCATGCAGAGCAGTGAAAAATTTGAATCTCCTGATAGGCATGTTTCCAGTTGAGGTTTCAATATATGCTATTGTTTATGGTGATTGCATAGAATGGAATTACTGCAAATAATGCCGCAAATGAGAAAATCATATGTTGTTATCTACCTATCTACACACACAAACATGTAAATCTAGTTTTTATAATTGGTTTCACTTTTTTCTCTTTTGCGCATTATTTTAAAATAAATTTTGAACAGTTCCCAGTGCAATCCTTTCACACCAATATCGGCTGTTTAAATATGCCACTGATATCCCAGTTCCAATTAAATGCAGAAGTCTTTTTCCTGCATATCATTCATATGACAGGTTTGACTGGTGTTATACCGAAGGACCCATGTAGTTGGAAGACTATTCTTTATGCAGATATATTTTAGGGCAGTGATCAAAATAATTCAATCACATCCCACTATCCTAATTTTTCAGAAGTTCAACACTTAATTTATGTAATCACAAAATATTGATATTATTTGTGTTTGGCAATTTCTTTAAGACTTATTTTCTGTGTGTATCTTGCACATCTGCATTATTTAACTTACAAATTTTATTAAGTTTTGAAAGCCATTCTACCAAGAAATAATGTTAAAATTGAATATAGAATCATCAGTGGGCATTTAACTCTTCTTTTGCTATGCAGAATCAGTTTGTAAGAATACATACATACATATTCCCAGAATTACATTATTCAGTAATTTATTCCAGACTCGAGGATTGCATTTAGTAATGAGCATCTATTAATGAAAAAAAATCTGCCAAAGGAAGAGCAGATATATGGTACATGTGGAAGTAATTTAACAGAACCCAGTCTTAAAACAACTGAAAGGTCATAGTCCAATATATCTGGTATAGAATAGCAAGTGTCACACAAAAATTGTCAGAAAAATCATAAGAATTATTGTCAATTCTTAGTAATTTCGTATTTTGTATAAAAAGTATCAAAATTTTGATGCATAATATAAAAATTCTAAATACATTTATATAACATCAAGGAATAACAAGCAAAAAGTGGGAAATTTAATACCAGTGGAGATCATTGCTTTTAGTCCAAAATCCTTTCTTTGAAAGGTAGGAGAAAACCCTAGTTGTAAAGTTACCAGCTAGACTTGAAACTTATTCATTTTTCCACACACTTAACAACTTTCTATCAACTTATATTACACAATATTAAAAAGCAAAACATTGCATCTCAATGGTAATTATAACAGAAAACTAACACCAAGAATAGAAAAGTCCTGCAGAAACACAGAATTGGAGCATCATGAAAACTTAGAATTTGGGATGCTTATTTGTTAGAAAATAGTCAGAAAGAACCAGGTGTTCTAAAAGGATGTTTTTTGATAATATATTAGAACTGTTTTAATATTCTTAATTTCTATCAAAGTGCAATAAAAACAGTCTAGGACTGTTTCAAGTAACATGTGACAAATAGGAGTTTCTTCCATATAAATTTCTTTTGTTGAAAAAGAGCTATAGCAACATGTAGAGGTATGTGTGTTTATGTAAAATTTTGTCTTCTCAATGGAACTTCCTTGGAGGCCATCTGTCTTTCTGCAATATTTATGCTAAAAACAGTAATGGTTGTATGTTTTCTAAGACAGAAAGGTAAGTTTTCTTTGTTGTCTGCAGAATTTATGACGGTAATACGGAGTCCTTGCTGCTCTCTAGATAGAGTTTGATTGTTTGCTTGCAAACATAACTTTACCCAACTAAGTATCATCTAATAATGTTAACACCAATGCTACTTGTTTGTGCAAACTAACAACAAAACTCATAGAACACCAAGGAGTCAACAGTTCATCCCTGAGCCATACATATTCTCTTCTATTTTAACTGCAATTCTTGCAGAAAATCAGATTTTCATTTTATCCAGTGGTTGCAGCCCTTCCAAATGATGATTTGTTACAAAACTGAGAAGAAGCAACTTGATCATTGTCCTAGCTATACCACATTTTTACTGTAACCTGTCTGAATTTAAAAAACAAGCAGGTCTTCCATCCTTTGGGGAAAAAATTAAGTGGTGCTTTTTGAGTATTAGTCTTTTTTATCATTTATTTTCATAATGAACTGTAGCAGCATGAGGTCAATCCTTCAGAATATTTTTTCTTTGTACTTTTTTAATTTAGAGGATCTTCTCTTCTCTTTTCTTTTGCTTTTCAGCTAACATATCATTCCCAGGTGCTTATATCCTGATCTGGTGGATAAAAGCTTCAGGATTATTACAGTCATGTTCTAGAGTTAGGATGCATAGTTATTCTGTTTTGATGACATTCCACTAAGCACTCTCATTTATTTACTATATCTCGATCAGATTGATTTAATATAAAGCAGAAATGGGGGGAAAAGTTACCATTCTGCAACTGTTGATCAATGCATCTCCTGGCTTTTTCAGTGTAACTGTCCATCTTTACCTTCAGCTAACTGTTAGTCCACCAGGAAAGGAGACCCAGGCCGGGTTCACTGATAGATCCCTTAATGAAAAATTGTAACAATTAACATGTGTATCCCTTTGTAACTGTTCAAAAAGTAACAAAAATATCTACCAATACTTAGGTTCTAGACCATACATATTTCATAGTCATAAACAAAAATCCATGCCTAGATTTACATTGTATGAATCCAAAACATTTGACAAAAATATTTTTCTCAGCTCCATATTTAAGCTATACCTTCACATTCTATTCTCTTTCTCTCTATTCTAAGAAACAACCATAAACTACATGGGTACAAAATGTTTTGTTTTTAGCCATTTTGAACATAAACACTTTCCCCAATTGCAGAATTGCAACTTGATTGCAGAATAGGAACAGTAGATTCACAATGGAAACAAGTTGTTCTCCAGGTACTTCAAAATGAAACATTCTGCACATCATTATAAAAGCAACTATAATTGGAAATTCTGCCCTCCCCATGACTAATTAAATAGAATTAGAGCTGTTTATACTTGAAGGAAAGATCACCAGGAAATCTCAAGTTGTAGACAATACCCGGTGTGTGTGAGTGTCTTTGCATATTCCAGAGGAAAGCAATGTGTATTGCTGCCATCAAAACTCTATGGATGGTTACCAGACATTAAACTTGATTTGACATAGTCTTTCCCTTTTATTTCTCTATTTAGGTATTGGTAAAGGTCTTCATTTTTAAAGGTTCCAAAGAAAAGTACATACCACAATAGTATAGGGTGCTTCTTTCTTCTGTGTCTCCTCAGTGCCACTAGATGTGGAAGGCTCTACAGAGCTTGGGCCTGTTGGGGATGTATCAATGAAATTTTCATCCACCACACGGAAACGAATTTCTTCTCCCATATCCATGTACAGGTCATGCGCTCCTTCTTCAGTCTCATATTCCCAAACCCATACCTGTTCCGTTTCATCGCTGGGTACATGAAAAGGTTAAGGCAACAATGTGACAAAAAAAGCAGAGAACTGTTCTCTAACATCCTATAGGGTAGGGCATGGAGTAATGGTTTTAGTTGTAGAAGGATAGATTCTGGTTGAGTGTTAAGAAGTTTTAATGGGACTGATAAGCATAGGAGATGAGGACCCACATTCACTAGATGTTTTCAAACAAGACTAGGCAATCATGTTTTCCTGTGGATTCCAGATTTAATAGATTAGTATCAATGGCTAAGTCTACCTGTAAGTTTTATGATACTAAGGTACTTCATTAAGACATATAATATGAAAAAATAGTATTTTGTTAATGTCTCGCTAAATTTATCTCTACTGCATTTTTACCAGGATAATTCTTGCTGATTTTACTAAGACTGAGGCTTAAAATAAAATATTTTCTAACAAAGTAAACAGACTTAAAAAAAATTAAACATAAATAAGCCTGATCTGAAAAGTTTTGTCATTATTAATTTGTTGGCCATACATTAAACCAGATGTTCAGATTGGATTTGGCATTTTTATCCACCTATCAAGTCCTTCCCAAGGGCCTGGAAAAGGCAGGTTTTGTTTGATGGTGTTTAAGGTATTATTTCTGGATATAAACTGTTCCAAGTAAAGCTGCCTTTTGCAATTGATTAATGGCGACTTTTTAATGCTGATGGCGTTTAAATGGTGCTCCTGTTGTTTTACAGTCGTACTCTAAATGCTGATGTTTGATACTATCTTTGCTTTCTTTTGCCACAGTCATTCTACTTCTATTTATAGGTCTTTGATTTTGTGATCCACCCCCCCTCCCCAGTTCTTTCTATTACTGCCTATTATATTCTATTGGATGTATTCTTTTATACAGCTACTTGAAGGATACAATTTGGCAGGCTGTTGTAGAGATTCTGGAGGAATGAGTATGTCATCAAAGAACCCAAGAGAAACTGTGGAAAGATCAATTAATGAAGTAGCCACTTAAATACAACATAATAGCACCTGCTTAAGCCTTCGATTGCCTTAGATGTATGTGAGGAAAAAAAGACAAAACTCCTCTAAAAATAAAATTGCAGCATTCAAAATAATCAGCTCTGGACAAATACAAGAATAATACATAAATACAGGTAGTCCTTGTCTTACAACCCCAATTGAGCTCAAAATGTATGTTGCTAAGCAAGACATTTGTTAAGTGAATTTTGCCTTTTTATGAACATTCTTGCCACAATTGCTGAGTGAATCACTGCAGCTGTTAAATTAGTAACATGGTTACTAACCATTCATGGTTAAGTGAATCTGGCTTCCCCATTGACTTTCTCAGAATTTTGCAAAAGGTGATTACATTGCCCTGGGACACTGCAACCATCATAAATATGAGTCAGTTGCTAAGCATCTTAATTTTGATCACGTGGCATGGGGATGCTGCAACAGTCGTGTGAAAAATGGTCATAAGTCACTTTTTCCACTGTGCTAACTTCAAACAGTCACTAAACAAACTGTTGTGAGGGACTTCCTATATCTAGTTAGAATAACTCAGCTCTAATTTTTAAAATGCATTTACAAAATAAAATTATATATCAATAAACACACCACTAATTGTATAATCTTCATGTAAACTTCTCAACATTATACTTAAAATTACAGTGACTACAAGTGCTTACCACTTCTCAAAGGACAGGATTAAAGAGACATATCTTTATAATTTTACACAAAACCCAATAAAACACTATCAAATAATACAGCAAATACGTTGGTAACTGCTTTCTGATCCAAAAAGTAGATGTCAGTTTGATTCTGCTATCCCCCAAGTTTCTACATATTGGAAATTATTAGATTGGTTTTAAGTGACAGAAATAAAATTGCTGAAATAGTGGATAAGAAATTAATCAATTAGACAGGAACCAATTAGTTCTATATTTGTTTTCAAACAAGAAATTCATTAAAGCTTGGTTACCTTGGTTACACACGATAATATACTTTCCACTATTTTTTATTACTTTCTGGTACATCTTTGAAAAAAAAAACTTTGTAGTAACTATCTTCATTTTAAATAATTAAAAAAATAACTTACCATGTACACCTTCAAGACTGCAGCCTTTTATCTCTCCGACCAGAATTTCATCCAAAAATGGATGAAATACAACATATCTAAAATGTACTAAAAAAGCAGCAAACATAATAAACTGAACAACTCAAGGTTATCTATTGTTTATTTTTTATTACATACTGCAGTTAGCTAATTTAAACACTGATTTTAATAACAGTTAAATGTAACAGGTTTGAAAGTGCTAAAGTGTTTAATAGTCATTAAATTATCTTTAAATTTGTTCCAATCCACTGATATTGATTGATCCATTGATGTTGTTACACTATTCTGCAAACTTTTCCATGTTATATATGCATTTTGTAATTTCTATATAGTTTCTTTTCCTTTTAAAAAATTAGTAATTAAAACTGAAACTAAATTAAAAGATTAAATTAAAACATATATCTAATAGATGAATCAATATCTTTCTTACTGTACTATGAATAAAGTAACTGGTACTGCAAGATAGAACTGAGATAGACACATGACATTGCAGATATTTATTTTGTAAATTGAAAAATAACCTATTAAATGCCCTTTTTAAAATGCATATTTGTATTAGAATAGTAAAATTAGCTACTTTAGCAAGCAGAATGTTTACAGCATGTGGCAATTTGTTCATAATTTCTCAAACATCAATATCTGTCTAAATAATGAATTGCTTATTACAATATAACATATAACATATTTAATCATATGCTAACTTACTATCATACTAAGTTAACAAAAATTGAACTAGGATATATCGCAGGAGGACAAACCATTAGTTCTCTAGAATGGAATAACAAGACATGGAATACATCATAAATACTTTTATTTTATATTAAGGAAAAATGCTAGTAAAAATAAAATAGAGTTAAATATTTTTAATTAAATACTGAATCTTGTGGTTCTCAGTTTCTCCATAAATCTGAAGAGATCAAACTTAGATATAGTTGTCAAACCTTTTGTGTGTGATGCACCATCTCCTGGAAATATGTAGGAATCCTCCAGCTTTGTAATGTCATATAGACAGATACAGAGGCCAACATTATACACAACCTGAATATAGTAGAATGAGGAAGAAATGGGGGAGGTCCAGAGAACAACAAATTGTAATTATTAGAAAATTCATGTAAGCAAGTGTTCAAAAGAAAAGCCACATAACTGAATCTAACTAATGAAGTGATTATGTCATTTTTATTTCTAAACATCTCAATCAGGTGATTCCGAGAAGTGTACAAGATTTTTTTTTTAAAAACCATGATAAATAATCCCTGGAGCCAGCGATGAATAGAAAGTAACATGAATAGCCAGTCCTATTTTCCTTCATTCCCTTTTGTGCTGAACTGCAAATAATTTCTATAGTACTACTATGTATTAACACTACAAGAAATGTACTAAACAAAATGATGAAAATTTGGAGGGTATTTTTCAAAAG